TCTGGGAGTTGAAGTCCACAAGGCTTAAACTTGCCAAGGTTGAAGACCCTTGGTTTAGTTACAACAGCACTCAGAAAAGTACCGTAATTTGAAACCAGTCCTTGAGCTAACCATTGCAGCATCCCTGCTGCCACGTGATCGCAGTTCGGATGGTTGGCAACGAGCTCACACAACAGTTGAAGTGTCAATTGGATCACCAACTGTGATTTTCCCAGCCAGCTTCCAACAAGCAAAGTCAATGGAGGAAGCTCAGTTCCTTAGTGACTGCATGATTCATTTAACAACTGAAGATGAACTGTAACGGCCCCCCAAAATGGTAAAACAATAAATGAGCTGGAAGAGATTTTGGAGGTCATCTAGTCCAGCCCCCTGATCAAGAAGGAGAACCTATACTATCGCAGACAAGTGACTGTCCAGTCTCTTCTTGAAAGTCTCCAAGTGATGGAGCACCCACAACTTCTAGTGGCAAGCAGTTCCACTGGTTATTTGTCCTCACTGTTAAGAACTTTTTCCTTCATTCCAGGTTGCTTCTCTCCTTGGATAGCTTCCATCCATTGTTTCTTATTCTGCCTTCTGGTACTTTGGAGAATAGCTTGACCCCACTCTTCTTTATGGCAGCCCCTCAAATATTGGAATATGGCTATCATGTCCTCCCTATTTCTTCTTTTCTTTACACTAGCCTACACCCAAACCCCACAGCCGCTCTTCATATGTTTTAGTCTCCGGGCCTTTAATCATATTAAGTTGCTTTCTCTGAACCTTTTCCAAAGTCTCTTTTTGTAGTATGGTAAGCAAAAGTGGTTGTGACTCACTCAACCGCCTTGCTTAGCAATGGGATTTTGGCCCCAATTGTGATTGTAAGTTGAGGGCTACCCATATCATAGTTTCTTTGGCATTGAAGGAGCTTTTGAATCCCACCCATTGCCCATGTCCAAATAGGGGGTAGAAATTGGGTTTCTGCCATTTTCCTGCATGAGTTTCTGCTTTATGGTTGCGATGCTTCCATCCTCAACCCCAAGATAACAGATAATCAGAATTGGAGAAGGGACCTTGTAGGTCATCTAGTCCAACCCCTCCACCCAGGCGGGAGACCCTACACTACATTTCTGACAAATGGCAGTCCAGACTCTTCTTGAAAGCCTCCAGGGATGAAGCTCCCACAAGTTCCGAAGGCAACTTCTGTTCCGTTGGTTGATTGTTCTCCCTGTCAGAAAATTCCTCTTTATTTCTAGGTTGAATCTCTCCTTGTTCAGTTTCCATCCATTATTCCTTGTCTGGCCTTCAGGGGCTTTGAAAAATAGCTTGACCCCCTCCTCTTCTTTGGGGCAGCCCCTGAGATATTGGAACCCTGCTATCGTGTCCCCCCTGGTCCTTCTCTTCCCTAGACCAGCCAGGCCCAGTTCCTGCAACCATTCTTCTTATGTTTCAGCCTCCAGTCCCCTCATCATCCTGGTTGCTCTTCTCTGTACTTTTTCTAGAGTCTCAACTGTAGAGTCTCCTCTACAGGTAGTCCTCGGCTTAGGACCACAACCGAGCCCAGAATTTATGTTGCTATGTTAGAAATTTTCTAAGTGAGTTTTGCCCCCCATTTTACGACTTTTCTTGCCACTGTCGTTAAGCGAATCATTGCAGTTAATGTCAGTAACCCGGTCGTTAAGTGAATCTGGCTTCCTCATTGACTTTGATCATCAGAAGGTTGCAAAAGAGGATCACGTGACCCCCGGACAATGCGACCGTCATAAGTACGAACCCGTTGCCGAGCATGTGAATTTTGATCATGCGACCCTGGGGAATGCTGCAACGGATGTAAGTGTGAAAAATGGTCATAAGTCACTTTCTCCAGTGCCGCTGTAACTACGAACTGCTGTAAGTCAAGGACTACCTGTATTGAACAGCTGTAGGTTAAGGGCTGCCTGTATTCGCAACAGCCCCTTCCTCAGTGCAGAAACTGCAGCTTCAACAGAACACATTTGGGGAGGGGGCTTCTGGGAGCCACAGGTGGCCCCCTGCCTCCTAAAGCTGGAGGCTGAGCCCAAAACTAAATTTGATATGACATGATTTAATTTCAGGATTGTTAAAATAAAAAAAAGAGTAATCTGTAATTTTAATAAATACATTTCAGCCTAAAGTGAATACAATGAGTATGATGAATTCATCCCAATCTGCTTAATAGCTTTCAATCCTCCTGTTAACACTCCCTTTTCATTTCCAACCGTTGTCCTAGCTGGGAGACAGATAGGATCAATTTATACCTTTATCAATTGATACCTTTGCAGAGTTAATTACAGACTCTTTTAAGATCCTCTAGACAACCCCCCCCCCGGACACACCCATGCCCGCTGAGTACAGGAATCCAAATTCAAGCATCCCCCAGATGGCCTGTCCGTGTGGATCCCAACAGATTCTTACCTTCCATAAGAAGAGGATGACCACGGTTAGCAGAAGGAGACCGCCAAGGATGCTGCCAATCAGTATCCAGAGCGAAAGAGGGACCAGTTTGGACTGGATAATCTCCAAGACAACCTGCAAGGAGACCAAACTTCTGAGAAGGCCGTGATTCTGAAGACCTTAGCGCTAGCCCTTAGACTTATATACCACTTCACGGGGCATTACAGCCCTCTCTTAATCATATTACAGAGCAATCCAGGTGTTGGGACCCTCCCAACCAGGCAAGGGGAGGGGTCAAGTGGGAAGCTAACCTTGAGTCCTTGTGCAGCCACAAGAGACGTAAACCTGACCCCCCCCACACACACACACCCATCTGTTTGTTTCCGGGGAAGCCAAAACTATGATAAAGTACTCATTCTATTCTATTCTATTCTATTCTATTCTATTCTATTCTATTCTAT